GATATTTCAGTGTTAGCCGCCATGATCCGAGGAAATTCCCACAAACTACCTTGGATTGAAAATGGCGAAGGCTTTGCCGTTCATTCATCTGACCTGACCGAGTGGTGCAAAAGGCCAGTGACGTGTCAGCAGCTGATTGAGGATATTAAATACACGTGAAAAAAAATATGGTATTTTTTTCACTTGTTTTGTTACGACATTTCTTGGAGCTGGAAATCAAACGGTGAAATGCTAAACAAACTAGAAAAATACATAACTGTGCAAAGGAACTTAAAGTTGTCGAATGTGTGATCTCGCGTTTGATTGAACAGTTCAGTCTCTCCAGGCTCCAAGACTCCCTAACTTCTTAGCTCTTCGTTACAACACTGAAAAATCTCCAAAATCCAATGAATGATCAAAATGCCATTTTTGGCCATGAAAATTGGCGTATCTCTCTTGAACTTAAAGCACAGAGCCAATCGAAGGCCTAAAAACACAAAATTAGTTAGTAAAAACTGAAAGGTGATACCGATGATGGCTGATTATTTGTTAATAGACTTGTCCGAAATCTTGTTCTCAACTAATTGAAAATGCGAAACATAAAACTTATACAAACGAAGGTAATGATAGCTTCCTCAAAGCGCTTGGGAATGCCAAGGTCATTTACCTCCGGAATAACTTGCAGCATTTCAGTTCCGTCGAAAAGATCTAATGTTATTTGGAAGACCAGCTTTAATAAGAGCTCTCTGTCTTCACTTTTCGTTTCAAATGTGTTAAGCCACAGCAACAAAAGGAGCGGAATTAGGCAAAGTGTCATCTTCAAGAGATCCGGGCACAACGATAAACCAGAGAGTCAAGGATGGGATGTAGAGAGAAGAAAAGTATACCAGTTATTTTGATTTTCGTAGCGTGTTGGATACGAAGCGAAGGAGGCAAGCCAACAACGATTGAGACATTTCAAGACTCAAATTGCTCTTGTTGTGGTAGACTTAAGAGGACTGCTCAGACACTGAAAAACTCCTTTCACCCCGTAATGAGGACTTTAAATTGATAATCAATCTAAAGATGCGTCATTGGAACAAATTTCTTCTATTTCTCAGGAAAAAAAATTATCAAAGACTAACAGATCTCAAGTTTTCCTGGAAAGCCTCCTGACTTTATGCACCCAATTATCCAAGATGCTACCTTTTCTGTCTCGGCAAACACGGGTAACAAAATTACTAACTAATGAGGTCGTTTACATGCATATTATGCATCGATGTATCTTTGCTCCTAAACACGTATTTCAAACTTAGATCGATACAACTGCATGTTTCTCAAAATAAAGCAGAAATGAGTTTGCCCGCCAATACAGACAGTTATTTCTTCTACTTTCGTATTTAACATTACCACTACTCAACCAACATTGTTAGTTGACAAAGAAAGGCAGGGATCAGGTAACGGACTAAAAGGCACCCAGCTTACAGCAAGACATGCAAAATAAAGCAGCTACTAACAGTAAACTGTGGCTTAGATAACAATAGAAAAAATCATCAGGCGATAGTCACGATTTTCGGTAAAAAATGCACGATATATGACTTGGCTTGTTCTTCGATTTCGTCCCTTAGTGTTTCGTTTCATTTCCCAAATTCCCTTTGTGAGTTGTACCTCTCACCTTCCTCGAGCCACCCCGTCTATTCTTTAAATTGCTTTAAAAAGTTCCTAGTCTAGGTGCCATTCTTCTTCTGCCCCCACCTCACAATCGATATGTTTACTTAATTAAATTAATTAATTACTTATTAATTAATTTTAGTTGTGGAGTAATTAGGAAATTATCCCTCGTGTTGCCACCCAAAGTAATTATGAAACCAGATACAAACTTAAGTCGACGTTCCTCAATCTTTTATTGTAATCGTCACCAAATTGATCGGACATCCATGATCAACTTTTGTGCTACCACACAGAAACATCTATGCAATTTCGAGGAAAAGAACAGGCGGCTTTATTTTTCGAATGGGCCTTCTGGTCCTGCGGGAGGCACAGAAACCATAAAAAAAGGATCACCATACCTTTACATGTTTCAAAAATGGGGGAAAAGACACGACACTAGTTTTATTACATCGATTTTGAAATCACTGGTGATCCTTGTAATCTGATTGGCTCTTATCGGTGCGATTTATTTACAAAAAGCACCTTTTTTTCTCTAAATTGCATCTTTCTCCCACCCAATGAAATTGAAAAACGGCTTTTGCAGCCTTTTGAAGACCAGCTCACTGCTGGATCAAAAAAGCATTTTTACAGACTAAAATGTCCTGTATCTGAAGGCCTAAATTTTGCCATTTCAAAATGGACGTAATAAAGTGGTGTCTAAACTCGTGCCTCGTGCCGCACACTTCTTTGATTTTGAAATCACTCATATGCGCATATGATTTCAGACCTAATAACACATGTAATAATGTCAAGAAAATTCTGTGGAGCGGAGAGGTCACGAAGGTGCTTACATTCGTGTGGAGCTTTTGAATATACTCGCCTTCTTCTGATTTGGTGAGTTTACAGTCACCATGCACCACCAGACGAAAATCATTAGCTATTGCAGCATTGGTTGATTGGGAATTTTCACGGGCAAATTTAGCGATGAATATGTATTTGATTAGATGTTCACAACCGCTCATAACTGTTCCTTTCCTTAGCATCTAGTGACAAACTCAGCATTAGCTTATAACGAACGGGTTATGCAGATTCACTCTAATGGATGAGTACATATGTAGAAAACTACTATAAAAAAACAAAAGAAAACTTAGGTAACACTTCCTCTTCCATTAAAAGACGAACATCAATTAAATTAAATTATCCCGATCACAGGCACCATACTGATAACTCAAAATCTAGCTTACTAATCGCCATGGCTCTATTTGTTCTCTTCGATAATGACCAGCTTTTCCACTCCATCGAAGAGATCCAACGTCATTCGGAGAGGCAACTGCCAGATCAGGTCTCGGTAGACGATGCAATCCCTTCCCGTACTTGAAAGCAACGAAATAATCACCAGGGCACGGCAAAGTGTCGTCTTTAGAATGTTTGGACCGAAGAATTTAGCTTTGTCAAGGTTATCTTTAATCGGTTGTCACCTCCAAATATGATCTCAACGAAGATTACGTAACCAACGATATAGCACGTCCAAACAGCTAATAACAATTGTAATTTCTTGTAGTCGAACACGATGTAAAGCCTTAGAACAATTGCAGAAGCGTACAGGGCGACCAATCCATAGAAACCATCTTTTTGTTTGTATTTTGCAAGATACAAAGCCAACGAGTGGGCCTGGAGGCCTGCTAAGACGAAGAAAAGGAATCTACCAATATAGACTAAGCATGAGGCCATGAGAAAGATATCCTTTTTGAAAGGTTTTTCTACGATAAGCGTTTCTTCAAGAAAGTCCAATAACAAAGTTGCTGCTAAAATAATTGCATCGAAATAAACTCTACGCCGATTTCAAGAAAGTTTTCTTGAAAGTGCAATACAGTGGAGTAATCTATTCCGAGAAAAGCAGATGTGAACAAATACAAATAAAAAGCCAGAATCGCTGATTAAGGAAGCTACATAGGAATATCAAGTCTTCAGCAGTGACCAAATTACGTATGCAATCAGTCTGTGCATTTAAACTTCTGGAATATTCGGGTAATTCATTCTTGCATCATTTGATCAGGATAGATGAGGCGTTTCCTCATTCACTGCGAAGTTTTTCTTACAAATGTACAGTATCAATTACTATTGCAGTAGTCAACACAATTTGCTTCTTCTAGTTTCAAACAGCTGTTAGACATATTATGGCTTCGTTTTCAACATTTCTCAGAAGAGTGGCTTTCTTAGGTCTGATAACTATACAGAGCATACTTCTATCTGCTTATCTCGCGAAGTATGATGGCAAATATAGTTGGTATTTCATAACCTTTTCCTTCGGCTCAGCAGTTGTTGCTTGGATTGTGTGTCTATATTTCAAATCGCTGTACCTTGGTTGACTGTTTCGAATTTGGGGTCTGTATATCGTGGCTTTGGTTGTAAACATCGCAATGGTAGTAATAATGCTCGGAGATAGAATCAGCAAGACCGAGTTTTTGAGTCCAAACGTATTTAAGGCGATTCTGTGCATTACACCACTTCTGCTACTACTATTGCCGAACACAGGCGATCTCGATGATTCACACGAAAATCATAAAGAAACAGAGATTGTTTTCCTATTTGTGGTTGCCCATGACCATCGATCTGTTCGATAGAGTCGAGATGATACATATCGTGTTAGAAGGAAGAGAGTACGACCTTGGAATACCCAAAGCATTCAGTTCAGCAATGTTCGCGTTGGCTTGCTTCGGTTTTATCATGTTTAACCCAAGTAAGAAAATATCAAAAGACAAAAGTTAGGGAAAAGGAAAACTGGAGTATTGAAGAGGATGCTCATTAGTATCCGGTTGATTTACATTTTGTTTCGAGCAATATCAAACAAAATTTTTCAGGTTTTTAAACACCTAAATGTCTTAAAGCACCCCACCCATTATTTATAAAATCTTGTATTATTTTGTTTATCATATAAACACAATAGCCCTTTACTGACAAGAATAGTCGACTTTATTAATGAATAAAAATAAAGAAATCGTCAATTTCCCTTAAAAAAACGCACAGTGGGATGGCGCTGGAGGCTCAAGATGTATAACACCGTAGTTTGTATGAATTTTGTACAAAAGAAAAAAAAATGGGGGAAAAGGAAAACTGGAGTTTTGAAGAGAATGCTCATTTGGGATCCGGTTGATTTATATTTTGCTTCGAGCAATATCAAACAAAAACTTTCAGGTTTTTAAAACACTTAAATGACTTAGAGCACCCCACCAATTATTTATAAAATCATGTATTATTTTGTTTATCATATAAACACAAAAGCCCTATACTAACAAGAAAAGCCGACTTTATTCATGACTGAAAATAAAGGAATGGACAATTCCCCAATAAAAATCGCAAAGTGGGTTGGCGCTAAGGCTCAGGATGGAAATAGTCGTTGAATCATGATTACAAAAACAATCATGGACGTAAATTTAAATTTACAAAATTCTCATTCATCTTTACCAACAGAAGAAATCTTTCAGGTAAACGGCCACATCGGCC